AAATAATTTTGGGATTGAACGATTGTTTTTATATTTATTATTTGTTCATCATCAATCATGGGGAGTTAGGTAGGAAAACAAAATCATCAGAACTGTTAGGTTAGAGTTAGACATAATTTACTTTGAGGGAAAATCCGCGTAAGACACAAGAAACAAATACACAAATACACAATAGACAACTGACACAAATACACAATAGACAACTGTTCCTGTACGCGGATATTTCCTAGCCTACCTCTTGAATTGATAGCCTTTATACCCCCTTCGTGTTTATTGTGCTCAATCTTTTTCAGTCAGGAAACGTCACTGGTTTTGATAACTTCTGCAAAAAAAAGTACGGAGACTTACTTTCGAAACTTTTTCTATATTTCAAGGGAGGTGAACGTAGTTAAGTCAGGCCACATTAATTTCGTTCTGCCACTAATTTATCTTATTTTTTCTTTGTTACAGGTGAGTAAATGGCTCAAGTATATTTAAAATGCCGCTACTGTCTCCAAATTATTGTGGAGAGGAGTTCCATAGTTAGCGCGCAGTCGTGTAAGTTGATTGTCACGAATTGCTCTCTTCGTTCAAGTTTTCCCTAATTACTCACGTAGGCATCCGTAGCCGAGTGGAAAATTTTTGAAGTTTGAACAGTTCACTATCCTCTGAAAGACCAGCATCACAAGTCAAATGAAAAATCATATCAACAGCGTAACTCCCAAACCATGCACACTGGAAAAAAAAAACACATTGGATCTAGAGTCCAGACTCTTAAAAACGTCGACAAGAAAAAATACTCTTTATTCAATCAGAATCTAGTTTGAATCAAGAACCAAGCCTCTTAATTTGAGCGGATTTCCTTTTGATTTAAGCTTAAATCTGATTGAATCAAAAGTCCTTTTTCTTGTCAAGAGTCTGGACTCCAGATCCAATGTGTTTTTTTTTTTTTTCCAGTGCACATCTTGTTCGCTGAGTCTAAAAATCTTCGGCCCTATTTTATTTTTTGAAAAGGAAACGCATTATCGTCATCCCTCAAAATTTTTTCAGAATTTGCGCCGCGCCGAGGAGAAAAATCACGAACGTTTTTCAGAAGTTCCTCGTTCAAAAAATAAAGTATGACTGGAAGTCTGCAACATCGCAAACTGAGATGCGTGGTTTGGGAGTTTCACCTTTGACATGCAGTGGCGTGGCGTGCTTTGGGACGTATCAATCGATCTACGATTTAAACTTATGGAAAAGGATCGATTATTAAGGTGTTCGCAACGAACACCTTAATGATCGATTCTTCACCGTGGCTTTAAATGGATAATCGATCTTTTACGCCTCGTCACTGAACATATTTATGTATGATCATTTTTTACATAATTTTTCATCATTACATTCAGAAAGCCTCAAGCATGCCCGAAGTATTCGCCCATTTTTCGCGGGGACGTTTTTTTGTGTTCGATAGGTTTATCATTATTTAATCAATTCTTGTTACGGTCGTTAATAAAATCACCTCTAAATGCTCATTCTATACACTAGAAAAAAAAAACACATCGGATCTAGAGTCCAGACTCTTAAAAACATTGACAAGAAAAAATACTCTTGATTCAATCAGATTTAAGCTTAAATCAAAAGGAAATCCGCTCAAATTAAGAGGCTTGGTTCTTGATTTAAGCTAGATTCTGATTGAATCAAGAGTACTTTTTCTTGTCCATGTTTTTAAGAGTCTGTACTCTAGATCCAATGTGTTTTTTTTTCCAGTGAAGGCCTATGCTGGCCTATAGTAATTCAGTCAACTTTGATATCCCTTTTCGCAGGATTTTTGAGTATTTTTTCAAGCAAAATTTTTGTCTGGACTCTAGATCCAATGTGTTTTTTTCTTCTACTGTATACCATAAACAAATCTCTCATGTCTGACAAGCGACTGGTGTAACTATATAGTCCGCAAATGACCGTTCTCATTCCATTATCCATATTTTTATAATTGAATGATAAATAATCGTTCGATAATAATTCGCCAGTGCTTGCACGAAGGAACGTTACTCTATTCAAAGGTCGCCAAATCGACCGAAGTAATTAATTTTCCCGCCAAAATGTACCTGTGCAGTTTTTATTCCTTATTGTTGTGATTTTTTCATGAGTTCTGAAGAAAAATCGAAGAAATTTTCAGTTGGGAATGCCCAAGATTCTCCCAGATAACATGCAATTTCCGGGAGGAGTGTCGGCAACAGCGAAATGGATTACATTTTGCAATAAGGAGTCATTATCTCTTGCTCTTCCGTAAAAGCACATTTCTGCATAGAGAAACTAATGGCACATATGTTGTTTCTAAAATGAGCCAGAAATAGTGGTTCCTCATTGCAAAATGCAATCCGAATGCAGTTACGTTCTTTCGCGAGGGAAACAACGAATTGAATGCAATAACGAATTGAATGCAATAACGAATTGAATGCAATAACGAATTGAATGCAATAACTTATTAATTGGGGACGTACCTTTCGTAGTCGGAGACTTGACCGTCGGAGTTCACTCTAAAGTTTTGCGTGCTCGGGCGAGATGACGATAGGAGGGTCGTCTCTTGGCCGACTTGGATTTCTGAGCATGTGCGTTACTCCTGCGTTCAAACGGCTTCGGATTCTGTTTATTTTGCTCGAGAAGCCGTTCGAATGTTAAGTGGCCATCTTGGCAAGTTGGCAACATTGCATTTCCTTCATTTAAATGTATGTACTACAATCGATATCCGTCAGTGTAGGCTGCATCCAGAGACAAGAGACCCTCCACTGACCTCCCAGCGACAGGTGGAAGCTTTTACTTTCGGGGTTTCAACAATTCCTTATGGACAATTATTAGGGAGCAACAGTCATCACGCTAGTTTCGGCTGTTGACTTACCTACATGGTCGATGATGAGCTTCGGATGACGTCATGAGCCAAACAACTTTCCCAAACGTCGGCCATTTTCGGCTTGTTTGCAAAACGAAACTGCCAACTCGTTGTTGAACATCAACCATGTAGGTAAGTCAACAGTAGAATGCTGAAGTCCCGAGAGTAAAAGCTTCCACCATGGCCAAGATACTAGTGGAGGGTCTCTTGTCTCTGGCTGCATCGGCTAAGAATGGATAGTTTGAGGACTCAAAGGAAGCAAAAATCGTATTATCGACTTGTGAAAATCGCCAATGAACTGAACTACATTCTGCATAAATGAGCTATTATTTCCGATTTATTTCAGAAACAACGCATGTGCCATTAGTTTCCTTTTGCAAGTAGGTGTTTTTATAAATGAGCTAGAAATTTATAGTTCCTATCAGGGCCGGATTTACCTACTTGCCGCCCATGGGCCGCCTGTATTTTTCCGTCCCCTTCTCATTTGTTTTGAAACATCAATAGATCGTATTCGTCAATGGTTCGATGTGTCGTTTGGTTCAAAGCAATAGAACATAACCTCAAACAAAAATTTTAGGATTTAATTTGGAAAAGCTGAAAATGAGAAAATTCCTAACTATTTCACTTTTCTTTGCCATTTGGTACTCGAGAGAATAAAACTTCGATCACATGAGACCCGTCACCTCAGATTTCTAAATTGACTTTTGAGGCTGTGGTTACATATTGAGCCGATTGATATCAATATAATCTCACCTGTCTGATCTGTCGAATACGATCCAGAAAAACAATCAAGTGAAAGTGCCGGTAGGAGAGGGGTGTATGATACGCGTTCACTCGTGTTAAGCACATTTTTTGTGAGAGCCCTGTCAACTCCAACAAAAGTTCAGTTCCGTAAACCCATCCCTGTTTGGACAAGGCCTTGCGTACATAAAAAACGAACGAAAAAATTATGAAAGAACAAACATAAATGTAGTTAATCGTTTTAACTTCCACCGCCGCGCCGACCGCACTGTGTTGGCGCAATGCGTAAAGTATTCATGCAGTCTTGTAGGCGCTATGCGTTTCACGCTGCTGACCACACTGTTTGGCGCAATGCGTGAAGTATTCATGCAGTCGTATAGGCGCCATGCGTTTCATGCCGACCACCTCACCGCTCCGTTCCAGGTCAAATAGCGTTTTTGATTTCTCTCTTAACTCGACTAACTAAAGGTGTTGTCTCTTGTATCACCGAAAGACGACAAAATTAGAAATTACTATTCTTTAGCTCTAAGGAAATTAGAGATTTTGTCGCCTTTTATCGTTTTGTAATTTATTTTCTGAATCCGATTTTTTCCTCTTTTTTTTTATACCTACATTCAAAAATATTGCAAAATTTGCCGCCCCCTACATTTTGCCGCCATGGGCCGCGGCCCATGTGGCCACCCCCTTAATCCGGCCCTGGTTCCTAAGTGCAAAATGCAGTCCAACTGTCGTGTTTTTCACAGTGATCACCTTTGGCCGTTCCTGCCCCGCGTCATTTCTATACATTATCGATTGCTTTCGATACACGGGTATCCGGCCTGCTTTCTAGAATGGGTTTGAGGTTTCGAACAACAAATTTTGCCTGAAAACTCTTTTCAATTATGTCTTCTTGACCATCTTTCACATCATCAATTGTCAGGAAATTCCACCAACATGTGTCAGGGAAATGTCAGGGAATTTCATTTTCTAAATTCTGTGGCAACCCTGGATTTGGCGAGAAACTCGGCATCACGCGCGATACTCATCGTTCCCAATGAATCGAAACTTTAATGTCTTACTAAGCGTGCAGTCAGAGCGTCCCGGAGACGGTCGAAGTAGGGGGTGGGTGACAAGGGATGAAGCGAGCCCTTCGGCACTGGCTCCGTCGCGCCTTTGCCTTTGGCACGTCCAGGACGGGCGGCAAAGGCCCCGGCGGCCGATAACCCGCCGCCGCGGTGGGTCCTGGCGTAAGGTCACTCCTCGACCTTTGCGCGGCTCAGGAAAGCGAGTCCGCGAGCCCGCGGCGTCGTATTTTTAAACCGCGGCGCGTTTCGGCGTCGTCCAAAAATATCCCCGGGGACGTGGCGCGGGTGCGGGCCACGCGGCGGCCGCAGTTTGGAGGCTGTCGGGAGTTGGGGCGCCACGCCACTCGGCGACTCCGCAGCGCGTCTCTTCGCCGCTAGTTTATCCCCCCGCGCGGCCGCCCCTTCAGGCGGCGACTTTATCGATCATTCGCCCCGAGCTTTTTTCACCACTCCGATATCGGCGGCTTATCGGCAGCGCCGGAGCGGAAAAAAGAGCCTTTCGCCGCGGCATGGAGCTCATGCCTCGAGTCCGGCCTTTTTTCGCGCGTCTCCAGTCCGTGCTCGTCTTTCGCGCGTCGCGGTGATCGCCATGGTGAATCGTGCGGAAGCTCCTTCGACAGATCGGACGTGTCTTTAGTGGGTTCCCGATCGGACGTGTCTTTAGTGGGTTCCTGACTCCCGGTTCTCGATCAGACGTGCCTATAGTGGGTTCCCGGTTCCCGATCGGACGTGTCTCTCGTGGGTTCCTGGTTTCCGGTCGGACGTGTCTTTAGTGGGTTCCTGGTTCCCGGTTCCCGATCGGACGTGTCTCTAGTGAGTTCCCGGTTCCCGATCGGACGTGTCTCTAGTGGGTTCCCGGTTCCCGATCGGACGTGTCTTTAGTGGGTTCCTGATTCCCGGTTCTCGATCAGACGTGTCTTTATTGGGTTCACGGTTCCCGATCGGACGTGTCTCTAGTGGGTTCCTGGTTCCCGGTTCCGATCGGACGTGTCTCTAGTGGGTTCCTGGTTCCCGGTTCCGATCGGACGTGTTTTTAGTGGGTTCCCGGTTCCCGATCGGCAATATGGCTCAACACTACTGCAACTGCGCCCACAGATACCAGCCGGAGCTTCTATACTGCAACCTCAATGTACCCTTCACCGTGTACACCTTAAGCCGGGTAAGGTAAGTTCCTTCGTGACTCTCGAATGAGGAGGGCTCCCAGAGCATGGTGAACCTGAAAAAAGCGGGAAAATATCCGGGCAAGTCAGGGAATTTGTTCGGAATTTGATGGGAAAACCAGGAACTTCCCCTTTTCCGCTCCGAGATCAACTTGCATTTAAACTTTGCGGTCTGTGTTCACTTTGCTTTCAAAAGGGTGGATAACCCGGAAAAGTCAGGGAATGCAACTGGGAAAACAGCAGGGAATGCAAGAATGAGGAATGAGGAGGGGCCCGAGAGCAGTGTCCAGGACCTGAAAAAAAAACCAGGAAAATATCCGGGAAGTCAGGGAATTCGATGGAAAAACCAGGAATTTCCTCCTTTCCGTTCCAAGATCAACTCAATTTAAACTTTGTGGTCTGTGTTGACTTTGCTTTTAAGAGGCTGGCTAGCGACCGGGAAACCCAGGAAAGCTCGGAAAAGTCAAGGAATGTAACTCGACTTGGAGCCAGGTTCCACGTAAAAATCAGGCCCGCGATGGGCCGGCTGATCGCGTTGTTGTGCCAACATTTTGACCACATCAATTGAGTGCCCTTATGTTACCTTAGAAAAGTCAGGGGATTCCATTAGAAGACGTCGGGGAAAGATCAAATGAAATATTGTCAGCCGCCCTGTTTCAAGAATCACACGATATCCGCGTGATATTGGTGATATTCGCTCAAAGAAATCCAGAGGAAAATGGACCACTAGATAAGGTACGAATTCCAGCATTCTGATACATGTTTCTTAACCAAAATTTTACGTAAAACACGATGCACACAACGAAAATTACCGAAATTAACTCCTTACGAAGATATTTAATGATTCTTAATGCGTGAATTCAGACCACCCGCTCATGAAAACTCAATGCTCTACGTGATTCACATCGCGCGCTAAACGTCATTATGACAGTCTCTGCGATATAAAAATCTGGCAACCTCAATCTTGACGCTTTGGCTCAGTTGTAGCAAATTGCTAATAGTTTGAACAACACATTATGGGAAATGAACATTGCTCGATTGAGAAGCTTGCTGAAACCGTTGTAGTGGGCGATTTGACTCACGTAGAGTTTTGAGTTTCTTGTGAGCGGGCAGTTCAAATTCATCGTAACCAATGTGAAATAAAAACGTTAATATCTTCGTTAGGAGTTGGTTTCCGTAATTTTCGTTGTGTGAATCGTTTTCTACGTGAAATTCTGGTTAAGAAACATGTATCAGATCGCTTAAATTCGTACCTTGTCTAGTGGTCCATTGGAGGAAATCCTGGAATTTTATGAGGAAAGTCCAAAGAAATCAGGAAACTGTAAGAGAATCCAGTCCAAGAAATCAAGAATTCTGAGCACTCACGATGTGTCCAAGAAATAGTGTTCTCTCTACTCGGTGATCTGCCGTCCCTTGGCTCTGTCTGAGAGATGAAATCGTAAATGCGCTTTCATTTCCGAAGGAAAATCTATTTTTTTTTTTTAGGAAGGACAAGAGAAAATGAAAGGAGACCCCGGTAGTTACCGTGCGGGATTGGTCTCCGAAAATCAATGGAAGTACCAGAGTACCTATAAATCCTTCCTCTACCCGCAAGGGGAGCGAGAAAATAAAAATGAAAGAACCCAAGAAGTCTGGATTAATATCGTGCTCTTGAGTATCTCTGTAAAACTCGCGGAACGTAAACTCCGAGCCAATCTCATGACGTCAGTTTCTCTCCAAACTTGAAAACTTGGTTTTTAGTTTTCTTTCGAAATCTTGGCTACCTCACTGCAAGGCCAGATTTTCAATATCTTAATTTGGAAGTGTGTGATTAGTCATCTTCATGAAATGAATCCTTTTTTAGCCATTTTAGCGGCTCTGGTGCTTGCACTAGAGCTGCTATTCCGGACGGTCCCAGCTGGGGAGTATCAACGGACCATGTTACATTGGAGAGACCGCGTGTTGGTTGATGGGAATCGGCGCCATTTTCTGCTGTTTAGGGGGGACTGATTTTATTTTAATTGATATCTTTTTCCTGTGAGCGAATGCTATGTTGTGTAGTGTATTTTTGGAATCATGGTGATACTGTCAATAATTCAAAACGGGTCTGTGCTTTAATCTCGCACTGGAAAAAATGTACTTTACGTTTAAAATTTGAAAATTCAAATCTATAAGTTTTCGCGATTTTTTCGAAGAATGCCGTGGTTGGAGCTTCCTAGTCATACTACTCGACATCAGCTGATAGCAAACAAAGGTTACCAAGGAAACCGTAAACGCGTAACAACTACCGTCGCCAGAGCCGCTTTCCGACGCGAATGCGTTGGAGCTTCCTGCTTGTTTAAACTATGGCGGGAAAAACAGGGATCAATCTCCTTTGATGTACTGGTTGTAGTGCTGGTTTCATGATTAGAAGGTCCCTGCTTTTATCGAGTGACCTGAGTTCGATGGTCTCCTATGATAATCGCTTGAGGTAGGGTGGGAAGGAGAGATTTGGGATTCAAATGCAGGATTAATACCTTTGGACTACTTGGAATAAGTGTAGAATAATAAAAAATAAAAAACAAACGGCATCGTAACACCCATTTTGCTAGATTCAAAGTTTTAATGAGTTGACCGTCCTTTTGAGATACTGATTTGCCTCGGCGACATCTATACTACCGTGCTAAGGAGGAACGCAGTATGAGCCATCAGGCGTTGCAAAATTGCCTTCGGTAATTCACGAATTCCAGGGAAAAGTTGTAAATATCTTTTCTCCAATTTTTCAGGTATTTTTCTTCCCAATTGTCCCTATGAACCTTCAAGCGTTGCCGAATTTCCTTTGATGAAACACGAATTTCCTGGTAAACGTATATTTTCCTTCCAATTTTTTTTTCAATAAATTTGCTCGCTCTTTCACCTGAAGTTCCTGAAAATTTCAGGGAAAAATATTCGTAGCTTTCCTCCAAAAATGAACATTTTATCGAAGGAAATTTGGCAACTCCCGAATGCTCATACGGCGTTTTCCCTCAGCACGGTAGTGAAGAATCTTATTCGAAGGTTGTCACCACACAACCTGTTGCATTCGGCAGCTCACGGGAGTGCTGAGCTGCGAAGTCCCCAACGGACTGTCACCGTCATCAGCGTGTCGACACTTGGCACTTGGGGTGAAGCGCCCCACTGTAAAATCCAATGCCTCCCCCTCGCCTCGTAGGCTCAAGTGATTCTTGAAAGCTGTCTGTCGGTGGTATCCTTGGCAGTCGGATTAATTCAGCGCCCTACCTGTTGCCGTCGAGCGAATAGCATTATCCAATTCGCGACGACGCACAGTGGACCGAGTCAGTAGGAGAGGTTGGACAAAATATGGAAACTTTAAAAGCTTATGACTCCGTTTATACAAAATTTGAAGGTTTTAAAAGTGGTTCAATTGGTTTTCTCGTACAATTTTCTTCTAAAAGTACCCCTAGAAATTTAAAATGTGCACACGGAGAAAGAAACCTCGTTCGTGGGACCCGAAGTTTAGGTCATATGGCTCTCTGTAGTTTTCGGATTGAGCATCTGAACACTTTAGGTGTAGCTGTCGAGGTTCGGATCACACATCTGAAACTTCAGTTGTACTTCTGAAGTATTTCAGATGTAAGAACCGACGTTTTTCGGATGAGAAAACCGAAGTCCTTCAGATGTAAGAACTGAAGTTTCAGATGTGTGATCCAAACTTCAGCAGCTGGACCTAAAGTGTTCAGATGCTCAATCCGAAAACTTCAGAGATCCATATTACCTATCCATATACCATCCATAATACATGAGCCCCGTCCCGTGGAGACGGTAACTGGATAAAATCCCAGAAGTTTCATCCCTGAGATTCGAACTCTGGAAACATCCCATGAAAACGTCCCGTGGGGACAAGGCCTAACTGGTGCAACTGCTCTTATAAACTGGTGCCAAAATCAGTCAAGAGTTCAGTCGAGATTGTGATAATTTTTTTCCGTGAATTAATCGGGGTTCAAATGGAGGCAAGAACACTCAAACGACGGGAACTCCCCCCTGAAAACACCCCCGCCAAGTACGTTGGTTCCTTAAAAACTCTCTACGCGATCGATAAGGGCTGACAGCTTCGGGGGTGAAATCATGAGCGTGTGATCAGGGTTGTATGCAGGGCGTGACTCAGGTCAAGGTTTACATATACGCGGAAGTGAAATAATAAGGATGGAATCGATGAAGGAAAAACACTTTTAATTCTTGAGCTTGAATGACAGGTTTACGCACCCGACGATGGCATTTCTTTCAGCTGATGATTTGAGTGCGTGGCTACCACAACTTGCGTGGTCGGTTGTTGAAAGAACCTTCACTCAAAAGCAAAAGCCCACTCGGAGGGTGTGGATGGTGGACGAGACGGATTTCAAAGAAATTCCGATGGTGAGGATATCCTTGGTCTTCAAGGCCCCCCGCCCATTGAGGGAATATTTAAACGGATTCAACCAGAAAGAGCGTAATTGAATCAGTGAGTTCAAAAACACACCAACTCGGGTTTTTTTCGCTCTTTACTTTGTACGGTTTAGTAACACTTATGGATAGAAGCATCTGCACGCAAAAGGAAATTTCGAAATTGCAATCGGAAGTGCTCGAAACAGCGACGGGAAAAGGGAAGAATCGAAGTATTTCATTGGAAATACCAATTTTTGGCCATTTCAAGAGAAACGGGTGACCATCCCATTTTGCGGTTTTCTTTTTTCGGTTCAGTGTATACCTTGTGCCAACAAGTTATATACATATTCGAGCGTTATGCAGGTCGAAAAATATAAATTTTTCAGGGCAGACTATGAAAAATCAGGATCCGAAAGTCGGTGAGAACGAAAACACACCAACTCGGAAATTTTTAAACGCTTAATTCCCTGTCATCGAACATGGCGTATCGATTTCAACTCGGTGCTTTACAAAGTCTCTAAGTACTTTTCCTTTAGCACCAAAAAGGTTTTTTCTTAAACTAACTTCTTCGTCCGCCGCGCAGTTTTAGGTGTTTCCTGAACAATTTTTTTTCCCCCGA